AAAGTAAGTCATATAAATTGGGATAGAGGGAGTAACTTTTTTTCTATTCACGCCTTTTAAAAAATACGGACGAGTGTGATATTTACAAACAAAAACTAATTGCATCGGAGAAATTAAGTTTTCTTTGAACTTTGGAAAGTGGGCTGAAAATTTCTCTCTTATTAAGGAATGATGCTTTCTCCTTTTACTATTGTGTATGAGATTATACATAATAATCATAGTGATCTATTGACCCAATTATAACGTAAACTATTTGTATGTTCTATATTATCATTTATAGTGTTGTCTAAGAATGTCGCGTAAAGTATTTTTTTTAGAACAGAAATGAAAATACACCATTTAAATTGAGGATTATGTAGACTTGCTACATGTTATGCGTCTATGTTAACTAGAGTATGAAGTTAACAAGCTACCATGGTTAGCCTAGTCAACATTGTTAGTAAGAGTTAGTTAGGAACTAGAAGCTTCCTACAGTAGCCTATAAATACATCAGTTATACACATGTTTTAAGCGTAAGATATGTAAACCTAAAATTGTAACTAACTTTTCATGATGATCAGAGTTTTATTATCTCTGCATTCAACTACTTCTTCTACTTAGCTCAAAGCTCCATTAATGGAGTTCCATGGTATCAAAGCCTTAGCAACTCCATGGTATCAAAGCCTTAGCATTGAGGCTAGATAAATTGTTGTTAAGTTTCAGAGTAATGCTTAGGTTCTCAGCTTTTGTTTCAGTAGAATCGTGAGCATTCTGTCAAGCAATCAAGATCCAAAGTTGTTCATCAATAGCAATCACAACTGAAGTTGGATCAGGATTATTGAAAGTTGGCAATGTCAATTCAAATACAAATCATCCAACTCCTGCTACCTGTTACATAGCTCCAAATATCAACCATAATCACTCTTGTATGTACAATCTAATGATACTCCAGGTGACTCTTTAATCTCTTTATAGCTTGATGAGAATATATTTCACAGTAAATTAGTTAGTTAGAATTAGCTACAGTAGAGTTAGTTACAGTCAAGGAGTTAGTTAGAGATTCTTTCTTATTATTTTTCCTCTCTTACTTTGTATATATACTTCATCTTGTAAATGATTTAGTCATTCAGTTCAATACAAACAGTGCAATGCACACAATTCTTCTCCCTACAAACAGTTGATTGTTGATTTCTTCTTTGCTGCATTCAATCCTCCATTAATGGAGGAAAGCAGTTTCGAGCAGAGCTTATGCTCTTAGTTTTGTCATGGTATCAAAGCGAGGAGGTTGTTCCTGATTGATTTTCGAATTAGAATTGTCTTCGTGAGTATTAAGCTTCTTCATTCTATCCCATTTGTTTCCAGTTGAGTTCATCCCTGTGGATTTGTGTCTTCGACTGTTTTTCTAATTGAAATCCCAATTATTCGATCTCTGTTTTTTGATTTTCAATTGCGTAATCATTTTACTCTTCCTGCTAAACCTAATTTTCCGCATTCATGGTTGATAATCAAGCTGATCCAACATTAGATAATTCTAGTTCTACACTGCCTGCTAGAATGGACATCACAAGTCCTTTCTATTTACATCCATCAGAAAGTGCACGTTCCACTTTATTACCTGCAATTTTCAATGGATCTGGTTACAGATCCTGGAGACGTGCTGTTCGTCGAGCATTATCAGTTAAAAGCAAAATTGGATTCATTAATGGAAAAGTTGTGCGACCTGATTCAGACGATCCAACATTTGCACAGTGGGAGAGGTGTGATGATATGGTGACTAGCTGGATCCTCAATTCTCTTTCCCCAGATCTGCGTGATAGCTTACAATACGTCAACAATGCTAAAGAGCTTTGGGATGAATTGGAAGATATGTATGATCAAACGAATGGCTGCAAATTGTATCAACTTCAAAAGGAGATCAATGATCTTGTGCAGGGGAATTTAGACATCACTGGATATTACACAAAAATGAAAAAGATATGGGAAGAGATGAGTACTATTGATGTTGCTTCACAGTGCACATGTGTGTGTAACTGTGGTGGAAAAACCAGAATGCATAAAGCTGAACAAGACAGGCGTCTCATACATTTCGTAATAGGGTTGAATGAGCTCTATACTGCTATAAGGGGCAACATCCTAATGATGAGTGTTCTGCCAGCATGGCCCAGGCTTTTGCCATATTGTCACAGGAAGAGAGACAGAGGGAGGTGAAACCTCACAACAATACAACATTAGAATCGACCTCACTTAGTGCCTCAGCTACTCACAACAATACTGGTCCCAAAGGTTTCAAAACCAACTACAATTCCTACAGAGGAAGTGCAAGTAACTCCAACACATCTAACACTAACAACATGTTCAGAGGTAGCTCTAGAACTAGCAATAGGTCCAACTTGTTCTGTGATTTTTGCAAGCGATCTGGAAACACCAAAGAGTCTCCCTTCTGTCTATGAAATAGTGAGTAATCACTATCAGAATGTGTGTAACCTTTTGAGCAAAGGCTACTGGCTAGTTTATCATACTACTGCCTGCTAGCCTGCTTTAGTCCATACAATGATTTCTTCAACCTACAAACCAGCTTGCCACTACCACCTTCTGATGGCAACACAGTATCATACTACTGCCTGCTAGCCTGCTTTAGTCCATACAATGATTTCTTCAACCTACAAACCAGCTTGCCACTACCACCTTCTGATGGAAACACAGTATCATATGTCACTACATGTTCCTCTAACAGTCAGCCTATTTCCTCTCTTGTCAATTGTGAACATTTTGTTGGTGCAAGAAAGTGTCAAGCTTCGCCATCATGTACTGTAAAATACCTTCCTAGTATCAATAAAGAAGCTTGTACTATTGTTGATTCTGTTGTCAATTCATCTTCTTTTGCTGTCAATTCTATTCACAATCATGATACTGAATTACTATGGCATGCTAGGTTAGGACATGTACCTTTTGTGAAAATGAGGAATATTTCCACCATCCCTATAAACTTTTCTACCAAACAGCCATTCACTTGTACTATATGTCCCATGGCTAGACAAACTAGGATGCCTTTCCCTGAAAGCACAACCTCAACCACCAAAAACTTTGAATTACTGCATATTGATCTATGGGGACCATACCATATACCCACTCATGATGGCTATCATTACTTCTTAACCATGGAAGATGACCACAGTAGAGCAACCTGGACACAATTACTCAGCTGCAAAAGTAATGCATTACAAATTGTCAAGGCTTTTGTTTCCCTCATAGAAAATCAATTTCAAACCAAACTATAGACCATTAGATCTGACAATGGTCTAGAGTTCAATAACAATGAGGCAACCTGTTTTTTCCAAGAAAAAGGAATCATACACCAAAGATCATGTCCCTATACACCCCAACAAAATGGAGTAGTTGAGAGAAAACACAAGTATCTCCTTGAAACAGCAAGAGCACTCTTATTTTAATCCAAATTACCTATGAGATATTGGGGTGAATGTGTCCTAACTGCTACCTACCTCATTAATAGATTGCCTACAAAATTACTACAAAATAAATCTCCTTATGAACTGTTGTATCATACAATGCCTACATATTCCCATCTTAGGAGTTTTGGATGCCTTTGTTTCCCAACAACCTTGAAAACCCATAAAAATAAATTTGAACCAAGAACCACACCACATATCTTTGTTGGATATCCCTTTAATACAAAAGGTTACAAGGTCCTAGATCTAGCTACCAAAAGAGTTCATGTATCTAGAGATGTACATTTTCAGGAGTCTGTATTTCCTTTTGCAAATTCTCCTGTTGGTTCCAGTTTTGCAGCAGTTTTAAAGTCACTTGTTCATAATACTAACATGTCTGGCACAACTAATACATTTGTTGATGAGGACATGTTGAATTCAAACACATCCCATGGAGTTGTTAATAACCAAGTAACTAACAATGCCTCTGAACTCATTTTGGATCCTAACATCCAACCTACACCTACACCACCTAATGATTCAACTGCTCTAGCCCCTAATGATGCTCCACCACCACCACTTAGAAGAACAACTAGGTCTGTCCACACCCCCACCTATTTGAAGGAATATACCTACACATTTCCCAATCTGCATTCCTCCACACCTATACCTAACAATCCTCACAATTCTGACCCTTCACACTCTCTCACTTCCCTCATTTCCAACCATGATCATGTCTGTTTCACCACTCTATGTTCTATTAGTCAGCAGTTGGTAAAGCATATCTCACATGAATGTGAACCTTCTTCTTATGAAGAGGCAATTTTGAATCCTGCCTGGCAGTTGGCAATGACACAGGAATTTGAAGCATTATATGCAAATGACACTTGGGAGTTGGTCCCTTTGCCTGAAGGCAAGAATGCCATTGGATGCAAATGGGTATACAAGATTAAACACAAGGCAGATGGAAGTGTGGAGAGATTTAAAGCCAGATTGGTAGTGAAAGGGTACACTCAACAGGCTGGGATCGATTATAATGAGACATTCTCACCCGTGGTTAAGATGACAACTGTTAGAATTTTGATTTCATTGGCTATTAAGAAGGGGTGGAATTTATACCAATTAGATGTCAACAATGCTTTCCTTCATGGTGATTTAAATGAGGAGGTGTATATGACACTACCACAAGGACTTGCTGTGGATAGTGGTAAGATGGTTTGTAGGTTGAAGAAATCATTGTATGGACTAAAGCAGGCTAGCAGGCAGTGGTATGATAAACTAGCCAGTAGCCTTTGCTCCAAAGGTTACACACATTCTGATAGTGATTACTCACTATTTCATAGACAGAAGGGAGACTATTTGGTGTTTGTTGCCATCTATGTTGATGATATAATATTAACTGGGACTGATTTGGATGAAATTGCTTCTCTGAAGACATTTTTACATAATCAGTTCAAGATTAAAGATCTAGGGAAATTACACTACTTTCTGGGATTGGAGATACTATATAGATATGATGGTGCCCTCATTTCATAGAGGAAATTCACTATTGATCTTTTAAAGGAGTTTGATTTAATGGATTACAAAGCCACCACATCCCCACTGGATTCTTCTGAAAAACTTAAAGCCACAGATGGGAAGTTATTGACAGATCCTACTCACTATAGAAAATTGGTAGGGAAACTTAATTTTCTCACAAATACAAGGATGGACATAGCATACAGTGTTCAACACCTCAGCCAGTTCATGCAGTCCCCTAGGGAACCACATTTGAAGGCAGCTTACCATGTCCTTCGATACCTAAAGCAAGATCCTACACTGGGAATATTCATCTCAAACAAACCTGATCTCACAGTGACTGCTTATTGTGACTCAGACTGGGCTACTTGTCCAGATTCTAGAAAGTCAGTCAGTGGATACTTGGTCCTTATGGGTGATAGTCATGTTAGCTGGAAATCCAAGAAACAAGCCACAGTGTCTCTATCTTCTGCAGAGGCAGAGTACAGAGCTGTGAGGTAGGTGGTGGGGGAACTAGTGTGGCTTGAAAGATTACTTGATGAACTCACAGTGAAATGTTCTCTGCCTATGCATGTATTTTGTGATAGTCAGGTTGCTGTTCACATTGACAAGAATCCAGTCTTCCATGAAAGGACAAAGCACATAGAGGTCGATTGTCACTTTGTTAGGAACAAGCTTCAACAGGACTGGTCACACTCCATCACATCTCCACAACCTCTCAACTAGCAGACATATTCACCAAAGCCTTGACTGGGATCAAATATACAACACTCATGAGCAAGTTGTCTGTGATCACATCACTTCCAACTTGAGGGGGGCTGATGAGAATATATTTCACAGTAAATTAGTTAGTTAGAATTAGCTACAGTAGAGTTAGTTACAGTCGAGGAGTTAGTTAGAGATTCTTTCTTATTATTTTTCCTCTCTTACTTTGTATATATACTTCATCTTGTAAATGATTTAGTCATTCAGTTCAATACAAACAGTGCAATGCACACAATTCTTCTCCCTACAAACAGTTGATTGTTGATTTCTTCTTTGCTGCATTCAATCCTCCATTAATGGAGGAAAGCAGTTTCAAGCTATGCAATCTGGAGTTGATCCATGAGAATTGGACTTCTAGGTAAGAGTAAGCTAGGTTTTGTTGATGGTAGATTCCCTAAATCTCAGTTTGCACCTGAATTGTTTAATATTTGAAAAAAATATAATGCTATGATTTTGTCCTCGATTATGAATGTTGTTAGACATGGTTTGTTGAGTTGTGTATTATACGGTGGTAATGCTCACAAACTGTGGTGTGATCTAAAGGAAAGGTTTGATAAAATCAATGATTCATATATTTTCCAATTGCACAGAGAAATTCATAGCCTCACTCAGGGTACAATGTCAGTTACAGACTATTACACCACTTTTAGAGGCTCGTGGAATGAGTTGGAATCTATTATGCCATGTCCAGGTGTTCATGTGTTGAATTTGTGAAGTTTAATGAGCACTTTGAATATCAAAGGCTACTGAAGTTTCTTATGGGGTTAAATGAGTTCTACTCAATAGCTAAAGGTGATGCAATTTCCAACTCCCAACTTGAATGAAGCCATCTCTCTGTTTATTGATCATAAGAGTTAACTTTATTCACTCAGAAAAGTGGAAGTGTGCTCCTAGTCCTAATCATGGTAGTGCTTACTTTGGTATGCAATCAGTAGGGGATGGTCGTTCTGGAAGAAGTTATCGTGATCACCAACATAAACCACATAAACCTCAAAAGCCTCTCCTTATGTGTGAAATGTGTGGGTACAAAGGTCACACTAAGGTTTAGTACGTTAAAGTTAAGGTTATTCAGTTGGCAGAAGGTCCAAGAAAATGTGTGTTGACATTGGTTCATATGTTAATAGTGTTGATGTTGTTTAGTCTGCAGGTCTGGCTATAGGTGCATCTCAAAATAACACTGAAGCTCCTAACTCGATTCCCTTAACTCATGCTATTTTTTTTCACACGAGACCAATATCATGAGATCTTACAAATGATGTCTATGGGAAGTGAGAAGGGAGGAGAACATTCCTCTAAAGCTGCAACTGAAGGTAGTTTCTTGATTGCCTTAGTGTCAAAATATGTCCATAAGGAGTATATAGTTGATATTGGAGCATCTAATCACATGACTTCTCAGTTTGAACTCTTAGATAGAATCAAAGTAGTGCCAAAATCTAGGAGGAAAATGGTTAATTTACCTACTGGAGATGTTGTTTGAGTTTCACATGTTGGTAATACTAAGGTTATTGGTGATCATATCATTGAGAATGTGTTGTTTGTTCTTGACTTTAAAATGCAACCTTCTCTCTGTTTCACAGCTTATTAAAGAACTTAATTGTATGGCTGCACAACATACTTGAAAGCATATAATAAGTTTATTCAACCTATGACAAATATGAAGATGTGGCCAAAAAACACAAGACCAAGCATGGAACCACTTGAAATAACCGTCATGCCAGAAAGACTAGGTAGAAATAAGAGAAAAATCGTGATGAACTTATTAAGAAGAAGCTTGGAAAGCCTACGGAGAAGGGAAGAAAAATGAAATATTCTGTGTGCGAAACTCTTGGACATAACAAAAAAGGATGTCCAACTCTGGTAAGTTGTGCTTTAGTATTAGTATTTTTCACTAAATTTGACACTTTTTAGTTGTACTTTTGACTTTAAGATATGTTTGTAGCAAAATGCTGGAACTTCAACTGCTGAAACTTGTAGAAGTGATAGAGCATTCATTACATCTGATTTTACAATACTACAATTGAAAGTCAACCAAGTGTAAATGCAGGTACAAGTGTGACACCTACCACAAGTGTGAGGCCTATAATTGCCTCAACATCTGTGGAAAGGCCTACCAGTGCTACATCAACTGGTGTGAGTTGTGCAATTGCCTCAACATTTGGAGAAAGGCCTACCAGTGCTACAACAACTGGTGTGAGGCCTACAATTTCCTCAACATCTAAGGAAAGGCCTACTAGTGCTATATTATCTGGTGTAAGACCCGCAACAAATCTATTAGGTACTCAACAATTAACTTCTAGCGCTGTTGGTCAAAAACGAAAGAGTAACACAACTTTAAGAGGTGGTACAACTCTTAGATATAAGAAACCAAGACAAAAAAAATACAAAAATAGTTGGTTATGGTGTCTTATTTAGATCAAATGACAGTGTAATTGCGAGGGTATGCATTCTATCATTTAGAGACATTTAACTGATATTAGTTCATCTATGTACAATGTTACATAGTCCTACATTGACAAGTTCAACTCCTACCAATATTGATCTTGGTTACAAATTCAATGGACTAAGGTGGAAGAGAAGAGTTGCAATTACTCAAAGAAAGCTACGAGAGGAGAGTTACAGATGCGCTCAAGCCAACAGATGCTCATGCCTCACCACTCAAGGCACACATTAGATTCCTCTTTGTTTAGCTTAATGACTTGATCCCAACAATTTTGGTTTTGCCTTCATTTTCGACTATTGTTAAGTTGTTATTCTGAAGACTTTGTTTTTGTATATGAATTTGTGTTTGAATGTGTTAAGGAGCTATTCTGGAGACTTTTTATTTTATTTTATGAATTTGTGTTTGAATGAAGTCAATGCCTTAGTTAAGTTGCAACCAATGCAATCAACTATATATTGAAGCCAATGTCTTTGTTATGCAATTTCATTATCATTGCACATCCATAATACAAATCAATACATCTTAAAATATCAACACAATAATCACAATAACAATGATATCAATACTAATGTTTGATCTCTCTTGCCTTCCATGTCTTTCTTGTCTTCCTCGCCTTTTATGTCTTCCTTGCTCTGAATTCGTTGATGGGTTCTTCAAATTGTATTGTTCTTGACAGGTTGAATTATTTGCATCAGCCCATCGAAAGAATCCACAACCATTACCAGTTTTGACAACCCCAAAACATTCTTCCAGGATTAGTTGGTGTCCTTGACGACTTAAGTTCAGCATAGAGTCAACAATAGCAACATCGAGCTGTCATGGTGAAGACCAACAAAATACAACAAACTGGAGTTGCATGAAAAAAAAGAGATGAGTAGATCGAAGGAAAAACAAATAAAGGAGAAGAAATTTGGAGAGAGAAGATCGAGAAAGAGGTTAGAAAAAATGCTCTATTTTGTCCAACAATTGTGTCGGGTGCAAAGAAGGAATAAAATGGTCTTTAGACGATCTCCAACCCCACTCTATTTTACTCTCCATTCTCTATATTTGGAGAATAAAATAGAGAATTGGGTCTCCAATCACCCTCTAAAAAGCTCTTTGTTCTCTATTTATAGAGAGGTGAATAGTAGTTCTCCAAATTTGGAGAACTACTATTCATCCTCTGTATTTCACCTTTTTATTAATTTAATATTATTTCTATTATTTGTAACTAACATATTATTTTATTATATAAGACTATTAATAACATTTCTAATATTCATAATTTTTTAAAAATGTAATACAACATCTTAAAAAATATATTATTTAATATATACTACTTTCATCCCGAATTAACAATATTTCAAATATTCTTTTTTCAATTTTCGTCACTTTAAGGGATAATTTGATATTATTATTGATTTTCACTATGAAGAATGCACAAAATTTAAATGATAAGAAGAAAATTTTAATTTAAAATATAAGACATGACATAATAATTTAAATACAAGATAACAATACAATACATAACATAATAATTTAAAAAAATTACAACAGTAATTTAGTAATCATGTAGGTCGTTTCAGATTTAACAATATTCGAAAAAAATAGTGTTTGATCTAGAGAATTGTTGTGCTTGTGATTGCGGTTGTGCTTGTTGATTTATTTTTTTCAATTATTCGTAGTTGTTCTTTAAAATTTTAGAATAAAATATAATTTTATATTAAATAAAGAATTTGAAAAATAAATATTTTATATTACATGAAAATTATATAGAGCGATTATTTTGAAAAAAAAAAAAGAAAGAACAAATTTATATTATGAAATAAGAAAATGAAATAGAAATATAAATAATAATGTAATATTGAGGAGAGAGAAAAAAATTCTTTTTTAGAGAGTAAAATAAAGAATTGAGTTGGAGTTGATTGTCTGAAAAATAGAGAATTTTATATTTGGAGAGTAAAATAAAGTGTAGGGTTGGAGATGCCCTTAAAGCTCAAAAAAGGACCGTTATAGCCTTTTTAAAAGATCTCACGCTTATGTTTTGTGTGTTTCAAACGCTCCGTGCAGACTCTTGCCATATAGGATGCCAAGTAAAAAATTGTGTCTAAAATATTGAGTTTCGATGAGTTCAGGGGACAAATGGGTAAGTAGAAGGATTCACAATACAAACTCATACAAGTATAAGAGTACCCACCAGACCATTTCGTCAAATGTTGTAATGGCTCTCCAGGTCATTTTCTCCGTTTTTTGATCTTTTCTGTGTTTAGAGTTTTTCCGTAGCGAACCCAAGTCATTTATGACTTGTTGGGACTGATATTTTGGTCGCTGGGTCATTCGTCTGGGTTTTGTGTAAGTTTCTGTGTTTTGAAGTCTTTGAAACTTGAACGGTTGACTTCAGTCAAAAGTTCAGCAAGACGATCTTAGAACACAATTTCAACGGTTTCACTAGCTTTGGAAGGGTCATTTTAGGCTAGGGCATGATTGGTTTGGGCCTCGAGACTTCTGGTGTGAGTTTGTGTCGTTAGACTTTTTTCTTTGAAGCTTAAGCTAAGATTTAACTTCGATCGACATTCCGGAGCTTACTAGCTGGCAAAAGTTTTATCTAACTACTCCCTCTGTCCCAATTTATATGACTCACTTTCCTTTTTAGTCAGTCCCAAAAAGAATGACACATTTCTATATAAAGTAACAATCTAACTATAAAATATATATTTTACCCTTAATGAAATGATTTACAGCCACACAAATTTCTATCATTAATTTTGGACCACAAGTTTTAAAAGTCTTCCTTTCTTTCTTAAATTCCATGCCGAGTCAAAGTATCTCATATAAAATGGGACGGAGGGAGTAAATAAGAACGTGGTACTCATCTTCATGCATTCAAGATTCACTTTGACTAACCAGATAAGAAAATGGCTTCATACCTACCCATTATATTATTTGTTATTTGACAATCAGACGTGACAATTGACGAGAGACAACTAAAATATCTCACATAGATATTTATTCATCTTATAATCTCTGTTTGTTTGAGTTTCATTTATTTGTTGTTCTCCACTTGGATTCTCTTTAAGAATAGTACTTCTCAATTTATAGCTAATTTAGCTAAATTGTTAAGATGAACAAAAAAAGTATTTTTGGTAAAAAGTAATTTACATTTTACCAATATATTTTAAAGGATTACTTTTGAACAACAATTAATGTTTGGTCAAACATTAAAAAGTGTTTCTTTATATATTTTTCTTAAAGTGATTTTTTTTTAAAAAATAATACTTTTTTTAACTTCTTAAAAATATTTTTTGCCAATCTTTGAAAGCACTTATTTTACAAAATTCACTTGAAGGGAGAACAATAAAAACCAAACTATAAAGAACAAATAAAATCATTCATCCCAATTTACATTACATGTGTTCATGGTGGTTTCGTGGAAAATCAAACTAAATCGCAAATTAAATGAAATCAATTTAAAAAAATTATATTTTAATTTGATTTAATTTAATTTCATATTTTAAATATTGATTATATTTTATTTAATTTTAGTATGGTGATATATTAAAACTTTGACACAATGCTGAAAAATAATTAAAAATTTAGAAATGTTGATCTCTTATATTCATTTGAAATGGTTGTTTCTTGTCTCTATTGTTTTTCTATTATCAATTTCTCATCAACTAGTTATAAATTAGAAAGTCAAACCAAACTGATAATTTTTATTTTTGTTTATTTTTATCGAATGTAGTAGTTTTAGTAATTTAATTCAAATGAAACTTTTTTTTTCCCTTCATATTGAGACATTTCAAAATATACTTTAATAAAAAAAATAAAAAGGTACAAAAGGGACCCACCCTTCAAACGTTTCTAGAAAGTTCCTCAAAACCCCAAAACTGTCCCTGAAAAAATATCTGGCTATCATTAGCCCAAGATATTATGAATACTGCTGACGTGGCGATGTTCACTGTTACTGCCACGTGGAAAAGCGTCGCCACGAAGGAATTTCGTGGGGCCATCACCGTAAAGTCCCCCAACTTGAGAGAGACCAGAGGGTTCTTTTTCTCTTCTTCATTGTTCTTTGAGATCTTACATTCACGGACATCGGAAATGGAGGAAAGCTGCCGGAGTGACTCGCCACTGTCGTCGGAGAGTTGCATAGACGTGTTGACTCGATCGAACTCTGGCGAGTCTTCTTCTCTGATAATTGAGAATTTCAAACATGATTTAGTTCAGACTGGAAGTGTAACCACGGTAATCTTATATTCTTTTCATCTTTTTTTTTCTTGTATCTTTTGTATATTTAGATAGGAGATTTTTTACGTTAGATTCTGTGAACGGCGGTAACACAATTTGCTAAAGAATCACCTAGTTGATTATATATTCGTGTTTCGTTATGTTTTCAGAAAGGTATTTGCTTATATTTGAGAATTTTAATGATGATTTGTTTTCAAGTATCGTGACTTTATTATTCAAGGAGACGGGAAGATTGACCATGATGTCACACTTCATGTTGGTGTTGGGTTGATGAGATGGATGCTTGCATATGGAGTCTTGAGTGATGAAAAGGGACTGCCTAAACTTAAGGGCAAGTTCTACGTGTGGTGGTTGGACCTTCTATGCAGTATGGGGCGGAGTGTTGGCAAGTTAAGAAATCTCATGTTTAGAAGATGAAAGTTGCGGATATAAAAAATGTTGTGTTGGATGTGCGACTATACTAGGAGTGATTAGTAATGAAGATATACGGGACAAGGTGGGAGCTGCCCCGGCGGAGGAGAAGATGCGTTAAGCAAGACTAAGATGGTTGGGGAATGTGAAACAGAGATGCACGGATGCTCCTGTGCGGAGATGTGAGAGGTTGATTATGGATGGTTCTGGAGAGGTAGAGGTAGGCCCGAAGAAGCATTGGGAAGAGGTAATTAGACAGGACATGACACAGTTTAGCTAAGCGAGGACACGACTTTAGATAGGAGGTTGTGGAGGACACGAATTAGGGTGGGAGGTTAGTAGGTAATAGAGCGTTGACTCACTTATCTTTCCACACCTAGTAGTCGTAGTATTACTCAGGAAGTTCTTGTCGTTCGATGGCTGTTGTTTTATTGCTCTTCGATTATTGTATTATTTTGTTGTAGTTATGTTTTTTTTCCCAGAATGCTTTGATATGCTCTCTCTCTCTCTATGTTTTTTGAGTTGAGGGTCTATCGAAAATAATCTCTCTACCTCCTAAGGTAGGATCAAGGTTGGTGTACTATCTGTAGATCAGATTGAAGATTTTAT